CACGTGCGCAGTAACTTAAATTTTCCTCAAAGATTACGCGGAGGACAGCAGCGGTGACCTGGAAAATAGCTTGACAAATATCCATGTTGAAATCTTCTGAGAACACTGATGTATCCATAGCGATATTACAAAACTGATGTTCAGTGACAACGGCACGGTCGTTATAAAGGCCCAGCCCACCGAACGACCACGAAAAGCCCCAGCATGACTTCAACACGATTTCAAACTGGTCAGTTCTGAATACACGACCGTTCAATGTGGAAAAATGTTACGTTGTTCAATTGCGCCACAGACATGACTACGTGTATAGGCTTCGGTCAGATGTCTTGCAAACAACTTTCCAAGAATGTGACATTGGTGTGCTCATTCAAAGTGATCTTAACTGTTCAAAGTATTTAGAGGCTGCTGTGAAGAGAGCCAACCAGCACGTGGGCTTGCTGCGGAGAGCATTCGGAAGATTCGACCCATCCATCTTCCCCATGATGCACAATACTTACGTGCGCTCTCACGTTGAATACGCCATCCAAGCTTGGCAACCTTGGTTGAAGCGCGACTTAGAAGTACTAGAGAAACCCCAACGCAGGGCCACAAAGAACGTCAAGGGTCTACGAAATCTGTCCTACCATCAAGGACTGAAGTCACTGGGAGTTTTCAGTGGCCGCTACCGAAGGCTGCGCGGCGATCTCATATTAGCCTGTCAAATATTGTATGACCTTAATCACGTATGCCGTCATTTGCTGAAACTCAGCCACAACACCAAACTCAGAGGTAACCCACTGAACTTGTGCGCACAGTATAGCCGTCTGGATTGCCGGCGGAATTATTTTTCTCTTCGGATTTGCCAACCCTGGAACTCTGTCCCAAATTTCGTTTTTTTCTCCCTCGCCTTGGATATTTTCAAAAAAACTATTAGAACTTGCCCTTGGCCTCCGTCACTTCGTTACATAAACTGTGCAACTTTGGAATATATTAATTATCCATCCAAACCGGATTAACATGTTACGTAAAACTGGGGATGCGGTAGAGAAGTGCGCATTCCAGGTTTAACTTTTCCCATGAAGTACAACAACTATAACTCTCTCCCTGTTGCCTCGTCGTTTGCATTTAATTCCAAAGTACACTAGTATTATCCAACAGCATATCTGCCGGATAAACGCTCAAACAGGCTACTCACCTAGCTTTTGATAATTGTAGTTTTACCCGCACCATCCTGCGGGACTTGTTATGCAACTGCTTTTATACCCGATATGAATCATTGTTCATTGTACCTGGAATTAGCAAAAGCGTTTGATCGCTTGGACCACCAAATTCTTCTGTCGTAAACTTCTTGTCCATAGCACTGGCGACCCAATCCTGCGTTGAATAAGCAATTTTTTTACGCGAAGGACGGTTGGAAGTGTGAGTCCAAGAACTTGTTCGACGCAATTGTGGTGGGGTACGGCGTATCACAATGCTCAGTGCTTGGACCTAGTCTATTCTTGGTTTTCGTGGATGATCTAGCGTGAGCAATTTCTTCTCATCTCCTATTATTTGCAAAGATATCGGGATATTGCGAGTGATCAGAGGACCGGAAGACCACCAAGAGATCCAGCACAACCTTAACAGGAGTTCGAGCTGGTCAGTTCAAAATGTAGCAAAATATGGTGTTCTTCAACTATGACATAGGCTTGACTACATTTATTGGCTTAGAGCACACGGATTGCAGACCACCTCCCAGGAACGTGACCTTAGTGTTTTCATGCAGATTGACCCCAACTGTTGCAAAATAGTCTGTTAGCTAGGAAAAGAAGCAACCCGTACGTGCACCTACTGCAAGGGTCATTCGGGCGATATGACACATCAATCTTCCCAGTGATTCACAATTCTTACTTGCACCCGCACATTAAATGCGCCATCCAAGCTTAGCAACCTTGATTGAGGCACCACCTGGCGTAGCTGAAGACACCACAGCACACTGCTACAAAGAACATTAAATATCTACTCAATCCTCCTCACCAGCAAGGACTGAAATTACTGGGCGTTTTTAAGCAGACACCACCGCCGGCCACGCGGCCATCTCATGTTAGCTTACCAAATATTGAATGCCTTTAACCACGTACGCCGCCATATGTTGACACTAAGCAACAACAATAGGCTCAAAGGTAACTGCCTGAAACAATGAACAAATCATTCGACTAGTTTGTCGACGGAATTACTTTTCTCTTCGAGCTTGCCAACCCTGGAACTCTCTGTCTCTGTCTCTCTCTGTCTGTCTGTCTGTCTGTCTCTCTCTCTCTCTCTCTCTCTCGTAAACTCATTTGCATCCTCAACTTTGGATATTTTCAAGAAAAGATTGGATTAGCTTTTAGCTCCCAAAACTTCGTTAGCTAAGCTGCGATACCATCGATTATATTAATTATGCCTTTGTGCAGGATTTATTTGTCACATGGATCCCAGGAGGTGACACATGACTGAGCACCTCACTTTCTATTCTCCTCACTCTTTACAGCAACTATCACTGCACCCCGTGTATTTCTCCATGCTTGCATTCAAAGTACTTTGACACAATCGCTTTTTGGCGGTGCGTGTAGCTTGCTAGACGCTTAAACGGACGACTCACATAACTTTTGATATTGTAGTTCCCACCAGTTCCAGCCATCCTAAAGGACTTGTCAAACACTTGCTTTTTAACCCGCGATAAATCATTTTCAGTTGTTCACGGTTCATTTTGCTGGTTTCTCAGGCAATTCGACCAGGCGAGATCCTCTAGTAGGTGCACGCCAAAACCACGTCTATAGGGTCACGTGACTACAGTGAGTGCTCCCCGATCCCGCACTCCAGAAGTGTTGACGGATGGTAGATCCTTAGACTTTTCTGGGATGCGTGATAGTAACTTGTGTGCTGACCAATCAGGAGGCTGTTCTGACTTATTATCGTAGAATCATGTGACAACGTTCATCTTTCGCGGCCACTGAACAGTAGTGATTGTCGAAAGCTGCATAACTAGGATGTATAAGATTCATCACAAGGTTATCATCTCGTATGTAGGTTTCGGATAAGTCCTCATCATTATTCACCGTACACGTTGGCTGCAGGTGGAAAACACCTCGGCTATCGTACCGTAAGACAAATGAAAAGGAGAGAAATGACACAAAGACATGCCGGCTGAGTTACCAGTACCGGATGGACATCTTTCCGGAGAGAGCAAACAGTCGGCTATTGTGCAGCAAATTGGTCATATTATAATAACTGAGATCGTATTTGGAGGGAGAGGTTAAGTAGGAGGAGGAGGGACAAAGAAACTCGCAACGCCAACGCCATTGAGGTCGGCTCCTTGCCATATAAATAAATAAATAAGTAAATGGTATATTCCTCGGTGATTCGAGGTGCAGTCCAACTATGGGATCTGATCAATGTGTACAACAAGATCGCAAAAAATAATCAATTTGTTCACGCTTTTTACAATGGATTCAAAACAGGTACTCGTGACCCCAGTTAGTATGTGTTGAATGTGTCAAATGTGTACCTTGAAGCACTAGTTAGAAGCATTGTCTTTCGGCCTAGATTACAGTGTGCTTTTTAGACGATTGATAGGATGGTTCATTGACCTTCAGTTTGAGAACATTTTTGATCAGTTGAAGGATCTTCAACCAACCAGTACCGATAAGCTTAGTTGGTTTAGAAACAAACTGACCGCTGTTGCCTATGAAGTAAAAAACGCACCAATAAAAGTGCGCACTTACGAACAGACACCTACGAGCGTTACGCGAATTGCGCGATAAGAATGTCGTTGTAATGAAGCCGGATAAGGGTTCAGGAGTTGTAGTCATGAACAAAGATGAATACATCGATAAGATGAGCA